CTGTGGGGATCCCTGGCGCCTGGCCCTGCAAGAGTAATGGGGGAGGGTCTAGTTTAGGACCTCAGCCTGGGGGGGGGGGCGGGGAGGAGCTGGCAATTTCCCCTCCTGCCAAAACCCAACTAAACAAACAAATTTCCAGCCCTGCAAGGGACTGGGGTGCTGGCCACAATTCAGCTGTTCTGGAATACCAACCTTCTGAGACCCTTTCCCTCTTGGCTGGGGAGGCCTGACAAAGGAGGATCTTGCCAATGTCATTCCAACCCCCTCCCCTCTCCAACCCCCTCCAGCTGCTCTCAGGAGTACATCTCCTTGTGTATTGCAGCTGAAATATGTCTTAGAGTCTATGGGGAAATTGAGGCCAGGGTGGCAGGACAGCGGAGCCCATGCAGCTCAGGTGCTGCAAAAACAGCTGCCATGCTCCTCCAGGATTGGGCTGAGGGCTTTACATGAGTGAGCTCATTTAATCTGCACTCTGATCCTCTGAAGTGGAGGCTGTTGGAAAAGTTAAGGGATATGTCCATATTTACACTACCAGCAAGTCAGAATTGGAACTCAAAGCAAGAGCTACTTAACAGTCTCACGTTCTTAAATGTGGCTCTTCAGGGTCATCCTTACCCTGCCCTGCAGAGGATGGACCTCCACCTTGCCTCTGCCTTCATACCCACAACCACAGCTGCCCCAGCTCCTGTGTATTTAACCATACTTGCTGAGCAGCCTGTATGCATCAGGCCACCACAAAGAAATTCAGACCTCATCCTTTGCCTTAGGGTCTCAGGTGCTTCGTTTTGGAAATGCCTGGTTTGCATGACCTAACTACATACCTGTGTGCATGGCAGGTAATTACGGCCTCTTTTAGTTCAAGTGAGCCTGCCTTTCCAGAGGTCAGCTGGCTTGCTGCCCACAGGATGAAGCAGAGAGGAGCCCCTGTGCCTGGCTTTTAGCACCAAGAGTGGCCCTCTAGATGGCTCGGACTACTGGGACCCAGAAAACTGAACAACATGCCCAAAACAAGTTAGATAAGGTTCCAGACATGACATAGGAGTCCATGGGCAGGAAAGCAGGCTCTGAACCCCGAGTACCCCAAACCCCAACTTCTAGGTTCCATGATGGGTTTGTTCCCAGAGAGCAGAGCTCGATTCTCTACTGCCACATGGAGGGAACACCAGGACATCTCAGTTCATTTCCATCAAGTCTATTAGTTGGGATTCTCCAGAGAAACAGAACCAACAGGTGATATATATATATATATATATATATATATATATATATATATATATCTGTATACTTATCTATATACACACATATAATGCTTATTTATTATGAGAACTTGGCTCATGTGGTTATGAGGCTGGCAAGTCCAGGTTCTGCAGAGAACAGCAAGCTGGAGACCTTGGAGAGCTGATGACGCAGTTCCCATCTAAAGGCCAGCAGGCTTGGGGTGCCTGGGTGGCGCAGTCGGTTAAGCGTCCGACTTCAGCCAGGTCATGATCTCGCGGTCCGTGAGTTCGAGCCCCGCGTCGGGCTCTGGGCTGATGGCTCGGAGCCTGGAGCCTGTTTCCGATTCTGTGTCTCCCTCTCTCTCTGCCCCTCCCCCATTCATGCTCTGTCTCTCTCTGTCCCAAAAATAAATAAAAAACGTTGAAAAAAAAAATTTTTAAAGGCCAGCAGGCTTGAGACCAGAAAAAGCCCATGTTTCAGTTCCAAAAGGCAGGAAGAATTCTTAGGGGAGAAGCTTTTTTTTTTTTTTTTTTTTCCTCCCTCTAGTCAGGTCTTCAACTGATTGGATGAGGTCCACCCACACTGGAAAGGACACTTTGGCTTACTCAGTCTACAAATTTAGATGTCAATCTCATACAAAAACACCCTCACAGAAACACTGAGTATAAGGTTTGACCAACTATCTGGGCATTCTGTGGCCCAGGCAACTTGATACATAAACTGAACCATTATATCCATGTCTGTACTATCATGTGCTAGTCCTGGGGTGCACAGTGCCTAGGTTTACAGAATGCTTTTTACTGATACTCTCTCATTTTGTTTTTACAAATCTTTGTTGGGGAGGGGTTGGCTGGAGCAGGTACTGAAGGCACTATCCCCATTTTATAGATGAAGAGGCTGAGAAGGCATCCAGGTAAGAAGCCAATAGAGTCAGGGCTGGACCCACCATCTTCTGAACCTAGGGACAGATGAAAGGCCGACTGGCCCAAACTTTTAGGCATGCACTCAAAAGTGCAGGTATGAATGATTTGGAAGCAGTTTCTTGGACATGAGAAGGTGGCTTGAAGACCAGTGATTCTCAGATCTGGCAGCATACTAGCATCAACCGGGGAGCTCTAAAAAAATATGGGACCTGGCTCCTGCCGCAGAGATTCTGATCTAATCATTCTGATGCCTCTGGGCAGCTGGAATATTAAAGCTGTCCCCCTCCGCACCACCACACATACCCCCAACCCCACCTAAGGTGTAGCCAAGGTTCAAAACCACATTAGGATCTTGGCTAAGAGTGCAGCATAGATAGGGGAGGCAGTGTGATATGCCCAAGGCTGACACATGCCAGGGTCAGAATCTGTGTGGCAGTTGGGGACAGACAGCTCAAGGGTACCAATGTGGTAGAGATCTCTATGGAGTTTTATGAAAAGGTTCTTCTTCTTTCTTGAGAGGAAAAACTTTGACTTTAAAGCAATCTTAGGCCCTTTTATTTTATTATTTATTTATTTTGAGAGGGAGCGAGCAAGTGGGGGGACAGGCAGAAAGACAGGGAGAGAGAATCCCAAGCAAGCACCGCATTGTCAGCACAGAGCCTGACGTGGGGCTCAATCTCACGAACGATGCGATCATGACCTGAGCAGAAGTAAAGAGTCAGATGCTTAACCAACCGAGCCACCAAGGCGCCCGTGCAATCTTGGGCCCTTTTAAAACAAATTCAAATGTCTTTTTAAACGGGAATCCCAAGATAATTTCATTCCAAAGAGAAAAGAGTGGTACCTCATACTGAGCACTATCGTGTGGAAGGCACTGAGCTCATGTTGCCCTCTCTATCCTCCCACAACTTGGGAAAGTAGGGTGATCCCCCTTCACCAATGAGGAGACTGAGGCTCGGGTGGGAAGGGAACTTGTTCAAGGTGACAGAGCAATTAGGACTTTAACTTAGGTTGCTGTCCTCCAGGATCCATACTCCAGAGCAGTGGTTCTCAACGAGGGCAATTGTGTCCTCCAGGGGACATGTGGCAACGTCTGGAGACATTTTTGGTTGTCACACGGCGGGGGCAGGAGGTGCTCCTGGCATCCAGTGGGTAGAAGCCAGGGATGGTGTTGAACATCTTATGAGGCACAGGACAAGCCATCCAACAAAGAGTTATCTGGCCCAGAATGTCAATACTGCTGAGGTCCTGGAGCCCCTACTCCAGTGGTTCTCAGCCTGGGCTACACATTAGACTCATTTGGGGGCAGGAGGGGGAGCTTTCAAACTCCTGATACCCAGGTTGCCCCCTGACCAATTACATCAGATTCTCTGGGGGTGGGTCCCCAGTGTGAGTTGTTTTTGAAAGATTGCCAGGTGGTTCCAATGGGTAGCCAAGACTGCTCTAAACTACTTATACCGGGGGCTTCTGCTCCATTTGTGGGACCCTGTGGGAGGAGCACCAAATCCATGTGGGTCGTACAATAAACAGCAACACTGTCCCCACCACTCCACAGAACCAAAGGCCAGGGCTCTGGTTCATTGGTTCCTTTCTCAGAGGTGCACTGACTGATGAGTCACTGGGGAGGAGGTCTGGAAGGCCAGTAAGGTGAGAGGTGTTTGCTAATCTTTCCCTTGCCTCTCTGGGGGCCACAGCCAGGAATCTCCAGAGGTGGCTGCAAAAACTTCCAGAAGAGACTACGGATCAAAGAGCAAGGCTGCCATCTAGTGGAAGAATGGGACAGAATGGCCCAGGTGACATTTTACTGGATCCTCACAAAGAGCCCTGTGAGGGACAGCAGGATGAAGCCTCGTGCTCAAGGCCCCCACTGGGGCAGGCAGGGTTGGAGGCTGGATTTGTACCCGTCTAGTCCACAAGAGGAACGAGGCCTTCCTCTACATTCTCACACTGGTTCAAGAGGAATAGGACACCTGGACTAGGCTGCCCAATTCCCTTTGTATGTCTTGACTTCCAGGCAGGGCCCAGGAGGAAAGAGACCCTCTATCCCAGCACAATCTTGGAGACTAACAAGCTGCCACTTCCAACCGCAGGTCCAAAATCAAAACAGGAAACTGAACTTTCCTTTGGTCTCCATCGCAGAGCTTCCTGCCCTACAAGACAGTGCCTAGTAAACAGGGGCCTGGGTGCACTCAGGCAAGAGACTCCAGTATATTCGATCATGTGGATGTGTGTGCCCTCTAGCACACACACCTCAGACAGTCCAAGTCAGCCCCCATTATGCCTCTCTTGTTCTGGTTCTGAGGACAGTCCTGGGTGCTGAGCCACTCTGGGCCCTGCTGATGTGGCTGAGTTTCCTTGCGGGTCTTAGAGAAGTTGCTCTCTCTTCTCTGCAGAGAAACCCTTCCTCTGGCTGCAAATGGAGTGAAGAAGAATTCCTGCACCGACAGACAAAAGGACAAAAGGGGAAGAGAGAGGATGGAGAAGAGGAAGGACCACGTGTCAGCACTCCCTCTTCTCATCCTCAAAGGATGCATTTGGGGCACCTGGGTGGCTCAGTCGGTTGAGCATCTGACTTCAACTCAGGTCATGATCTCATGTCTCATGAGTTCAAGCCCCACATCAGGCTCTAAGCTGACAGCCTGGAGCCTGCTTCAGATTCTGTGTCTCCCTCTCTCTCTGCCCCTCCCCTGCTGACATTCTGTCTCTGTCTCAAAGACAAACATAAAAAAAATTTTTTAAAAAGATGCATTTTCCCCATCTGGCACATAAAGGGACTGAGGCACAGAAAGACAGGGAAAATTGTTGAGGGTAAAAACATGTGTGGTCAGAGGGCAAGAAGTCAGGCAACAGTAGACTCACCTGCAGCCACGGAGACATTCAAGGAGTCAAGTCCAGAGGGCAGCTGCCGGCCAGGCAGGATTGTAAGGAGAAGCTGGCAGGAGGCCTGTACCTCCTTGGACAGACCAGAGCCCTCATTACCTGCAGGGCATAGAGGCAGAGGGTTAAGGATGCCCCAGTTGGACACATGGGCACTCTGGACATGCACATCTGAACAAGGAAAAGTGGGGACATCTACCTACCCAGCACTAGGACAGTAGGCCGGTCCCAGAGGAACTCCAAGCAGCTAGTGACAGGGATCTCAGAGAACGAGGAAATCTCAGGCCCCAGGCAGCCCACTGTGCCAGCTACGAGCCAGCCCTCCCGGGCTCTGGCCTGAAAGGAGGAAGAAGAAATCAAGTTCTAGGTCACGAAACCTTCATTCAAGCCCCAGCTGAGGAGCTGGTCTTGCGCATATAGTCATTCCCTTGCTGATCCATTCAATTCATCAACGGTTATTAAGCCTCTAGAATGGGCAGGCTCTGTTGTAAGTGATGGGGACAGGGCAGAGAACAAAATGGGCCCAAATCCCAGCTACCCAGTGGAAGGGTGCTCAGGGAAGGCCTCACTGAGGCAATACTGGAGTGGAGACCTGAACGAGATGAAGGAGTACCAAGCATACATCTGGGGGCAGATTAATCTAGGCAGAAATGAGTTAAGTGCAAAGGCTGAGGCTGGCACTTATGTGACACATGGGAGGAACAGTGGAGTGGCAAGGTGGTGGCGGGTGGGGAGGGAGGACGAGAGGGAGGGAGACAGGAGAGGGAACAAAGAGCCACATAAGGTAGGACCTCAAAGGCCACTAGAAGGACTTTGGCTTTTGCTCTCTGAGAGAGATGTGAAGGCTTTGAAAGGTTCTGAGCAGAGAAGTAACATGTTTCAACAGAATCACTCTGCCTGCTGGGTTGAGAGCCAATAGCAAGAGATGGGACATTCCCACAATAATGCAGGCAAGAGATGATGGAGGGCTGTGCCAGAGTGGGAGCTGCAGAGATGCGGAGGATTGGTGAGAATACAAAAATACCTTCATGGTAAAACCAAAAGAATTTGTGGATAGGGTGGGCCATGGCAAGCAGGAAGAATCAAGGCCACCACAGCACTGGGCCTAAATAAAGGGATGCGGTTGCCATCGATCGAGTTGGGCAAAGTCTACAGAAGGAAGTGCTTGGCTTCGAAAATGTGAAGTTTGAAATGCCCCTCAGACCACAAAAGAAGCTGTTGAGTAAGCAACTTGATAATATACATTTGGGAGGCAGCCAAGCATAGGTGGTATTTAATGCCCTGAGACTGGATGAAACCAAGAAATGAACACATATAGAACAGAGATCCAAGGACTGGGCCTGGGAGACCTAGGGGGGGGCAGATGGTCATGGGAGCAGTCAAATGCAAGGCAAGACTGCCCCCTTGTGTCCATCAGTAGAAGCACAACTGAAGACAGAAACCTGGACCAGGAAAGGGGTTTCTTTACTTAGGTTTACCCCTTCCTGGATATCAAAGTTGTTGTTGTTGGTGGTGGTGGTTTGTTTGGGTTTTGGTTTTCTGTAGGGTTGGGGGGGTGGGCGGGAGAAAGGCATAAGTGAATCTGTCTTTGTTCAAAGAGCCTTTCAGGCTGTGCCCCCACTCAGAATGCATGACTCCTGCCAACCAGCTTCTCACAGTCCATCACACCATTTACTGAAAACCTACTTAGTAGGCAGCGAGGATCTGAGGTATACTAGCCTCCAAGGCAAAGAGGTATGCCTGGAGAAGGAGTACAGTAAAGGGAATGAAGCTAGGAAGTCTTTGACTTCAGATTCTGCCCTACTTATGGTTTTGAAAATTCCAGAATCCTTCCCTTCCAAAAGGGATTTAGAAGGGCGTAGGAAACGATGCCAACATTCCCCTTTCTCTCCCCTTCTTTCATCAACTGCTGGATGAGTGCCCTCGGAGAGACTGAGTTTGTCTCGTTTCTTCTCTACCCACCGTCCGCCTCCCCGCCATTACCTGTAAAAAACCGGCCAGGTCATCAGTGGAGAACAGGTCCATCACCTCCATAGCCCCCGCGCTGGCTTTGCTGACTACTGGAGTGAGTGGGCAGCTGCAAATTTCCCCATGCCCTGCATTAAACTGGGTAATCTCAAACCGGGTGCTTTGCCCTAGCCAACCCCCACCTCCCCGCCCCTCCTCCCTGGCCCTGGCCCCCAAGGGTTAAGGGTGAGAATTCTGACGATGGGGCGAGGGATCAAGGGTCAAGGTGCTTAGAAACTCGGTTGTGCCCCAAAGCGGGGCACATGGGGATTAAGGGATGTCCATGCCTGTTTCTCCCGCTGGTGATGACTTTATCCACTCCGAGAAAATGAGCAGAACGCAGCACGCCTCCAAGGTTCCGGGGATCCTGGAGCCCTTCGAGGACAAGCCACAGCTGCCGGGGGTCGTCGCCTGGCCTCGCCTCCCCGACCTCAGTCCAAGGCCGAGGCTGAAGCGGGCTCACCTCCATGCAGACGCCCTGGTGGACCTGGTAGCGGCACAGGGCGTCCAGCTTCTGCCGTCTGGGCCGCAGAACTGGTATGTCACGCGCCTCTGCCACCCGGAGCAGCTCGGCCCGCTCCCCTTGCAACCCTGACCTGCCGGCCTGGAGCAGAAGCCTGGCCACGCGGCGACGAGCAGCTCGCAGAGCCAGGAGACAAGGGGACAGGCCAAACAGACGCTCCAGTCCCTCCGCAGATCGCGGGGTCGGCGCCAGGTCATCAAGTAGCAGGCGGCTCAGCTCCTCCCCGCCGGGCCGCTCCCCACGCCTCGCCGCTTGAGAGGAATGACGCGCGAGCAGGCGACCCGAAAACCGCGAGGTCGCGCCCCTGAAGGCCCAGAGCAGCGCCATGGTCGATGCCCCCTGCTACGTCATCAGGATTGGTCACTCCCGCCGCGGCCCGCTCCGGGTCCCCAACATTGGCGAAGGACACCCGATGGCCGTCTCCACCTCGCCCCCTCAGAGTACGAATAGCCTGGATTCTCGACTTAGACTACCCACAACCAGGTAGCCTAACCAAGGCCGCCCCTCCCCGGCTCCCACGTGGGCTACTCTGCTTCCGGGTTCGGGCGGCCCGCCCCCTGCCCGCTGACGCACTGCGCATGCCCGACCGCCAGGCGGTGCCCACAGCGCCTCCTGCAGGACTAGCTGAGCCGCAGCCTTCTCTGTACCGCGACCCGCTGGGCTGCCCCCTACTACCGGCATCATTCTGTGCCTTTCGAGGTCCCAGAAGGCTGGAGGGCCACATTCACCCAGACACCGGCAAAAGCCACTTGAAAAGGGATGTGTTCCAACCAGGTCAGTCGTGGTGATTCCCCCCCGCCCCCCCCCGACATCCAGTCCACCACCAGGTGCTGGGGATTTTCCTCAGAAGCTTCTGCATCCAGCCCCTCCTCTGCACCTCCACTGCCTTGTAAAACCCTCAGCATCAGTCAACAGGACGCCAGCAGTAACTTCCTATCCCGTGGCGGCTGATTCTCCAAGTGACAGCTCTGTGCCTCTCCTGCACCTGCTGACAAGCCAACTGATGTCCTTGGCCCATAGGTAATCACCAGACTCTTTGCTCAGCACACAGACCTCCGGTGATCCAGGCAGCAGCTTCCTTTTCGGCCCCATCTCACTCCTGCACTACATTCTGTGCTGTTCCCATGACATTGCCTGCTTTTTTGGCCTCCCGGCCTTGTATCCACTGTTGTCCTCTTTCCTGGCTGGCAAACTCCTACCCATTTCCAAGACTCAACCCAAACCCACATCTGCTACCTAAGGTAATCCACACTCCAGGAGTGATGCCCCAAAGCGCCCACCTTCCCACTCACCTGGAAGAAATTCTGAGGCACAACCACCCCTGATCACAGAAAAGGAGAAAGAACAGAAAGATACTCCTGAAGCCAAGGTAGGTTGTTGCAATTTTTCTTTTTTAATTATCACAGTGAAACCCAGTTGGGAGGCAGGGCCTGATATTCAGCTGCCATAGTCAGTGTGGAGTGATGACCCCACTGGGAGCAGAGAAGCCAAGCCTGGGCTGGAGAACAGGGGTGGGTGAAGAGAAGAGCCAATAGGGGCAGTAGGGCAGGGAGAGGAGGAAGCCTAGGGCCTTGGAGAGCTATTCAGATAGAAGGTGAGGGCTTCTCTCTGCCACCTCCTCCTTGAGGGACAGGGGTTGGGGTACAAGAAGATAGGGGGAAGCCCCCCTTTTGGCCACAGTTCCTTCCCTAGGTCAAAAGGAAGAGACCAAAGAGAGCACACAAAGGCCAAGGAGACTAAGAAGCAGACCAATAATGAGTTAACAGGTAAAACAATCGGGGACACCTAACCTCTCCCCAGCCCACTGTTCATATTTGTGGTGGAAGTAATTTGATAAGACATAAAAACTTCCAAAAATTTGTAGCCCCTGGTGGGTTGGAGAGAGGAAGCAGAATCCAGGAGTCTGGAAATCAACACCTAAAATCCAGAGGCAGGAGCTAAGCCGTGAGGCGTGGGGACGGAAGACAGAACTCCCCACAGGAAACTAGATCACCTACTCTGTGGGCCTCATCTGGATGTCTCCAATCTGCTGGAAGGCACAAGGCTTGAAGCAGACAGGATGCTCTCCCCACCCGCTAGGCCTCCCTGTTGTCCTCCTCTGGGATGGCTGGGCTCTTCCAGGGGGTGGACAGTCAAGGCCAGACTCACCTGGACACGTGGAAGGGTGCTTGAGGACATAGATGACAGCCTCAGCCACATCTTCAGGTTTGAGACACTGGAGAGTATGGGAGGAAAGAGGGATGGTGAGGGCAGAGTGAACCTCCCACCTCTGACGTCCTCTCCAACATCTTCATCCCCACCCCAACCCTCCAGGAGGGGTGACAGGCTGGCTAGAAGAGTGTGGTCTAAAGGCCAGGGTTCCCTCTGCATTCACTTAGGGAGTGAGTGGCTCACTGGCCTCAGAGTGAGGCCTCACCTTTATGCGTTCATAGATGGAAGCTGCCTTCTCAGGGTCCTTATTGTGGAGTTTGAAGGAGAATTGTGTCTCCGCCACTTCTGGAGAGATGCACTGGACCAACAGAGAGGGCCTGCTCAGGAGCTGAGCTGAGCCCTGCCTCCATCCCAGTCAGAAGCTAGGCTTAGGGGAGAGACAGGGTGGAAAACACGGGGGCCCCCCTGCTTCACAGTGATGGCTGCCCAATGTCCAGCAGCCACCTCCTCCTCCCAAAGCTGCCACTAGCAATGATCACAATGACACCTACCACCTATGGAGCCCTTCTCAGGTAAGTGTTTTACAAAATGGTGTCCCTTAAGACTTCATCACTGGGTCGGTATCACCATCTCCATTTTACAAATGAGTAAGGCTGAGGCTTGGAGGGGTTAAGTGAGTTGCCCAAGGTCATGTGGCCTTTCAGGGAAGAGCCCAGAGTCTGGGTTTACAGCCACAGTTTCCCACAGCCCCTGCTCTCCTTCAGTCTCACCTACTGTGTTCCCTTCTGGTCAGCCCCCTCCCATCTCAAAGTCAGTGACATGAAGCTCAAAGGGCTACTCAGGGTCATGCCAGCAGCAGCAGAGCCCAGGAGCTCTGTGCCCCTCACACTCCCAGCAGGGCATCCTGGACAGTATGAGTGTGGGGTGCAGAAGGCCTGTGCCTACCCAGTCCCCACCAGGGCCAGGCCTCACCCTCACTGTGGCTCAAATGTGGGTCTGGGCCTCCCGAAGCTCTTGCCTCAGTCCCTCTGTCAGTGTGGTGATGGCATACTTGGTAGCACTATAGAAATGGATCACGGAGTGGGGTGACACTTGGTGACCAGACATGCTGGGTGGAGGAAAGGAGGAGAAAGAGAGTAAAGCTGCTGATGGACCAGCAGTGCCCCCTGCTGGACCAGTCAGCCCCACCACCTAGATGCTGCAGGAAAGCCTTCTCAAGGGGACCTCTTTACAGGCCATCCTGGTGGCCCACTGATGTAGCTCCAGCTATTCAAGCAGCTCCTGTAAGTCCTGCTCTTCCTAGAAGTCCAACTAGGGGCTGGCACTTGATATACACTATTCTTTCTCTCGCCATAATTGTGCCATTTGGCTGTTAACTGGGTATTAAGTCCCTATTTCACCACCAATGAAACTGATGTCCAAAGAGGTCAAATGAACTGCAACAGATCACTCAGCTTGGAGGGTGAGTGATGATCTGAGCTTTAGCCCTTGTCCACCTGCCTCACCTGTTGATATTAATGATGTGCCCGTCATCCACCTTCCATTCCTTCATGGACTGGTAGGCTTCCCGTGTGCAGATGCTGAGGGCCAGCATGTTCACCTGCAGGCCAGGGAGGGCAGTGGGGTATCTCTAGCTTGGGCCCATCTGAGCAGGTAATAGAGCCACAGAGCCCATCCAGGGGAGTGGCATTCCAAAACAGTGTCCAGGTCCTACCTGAGACCAACAATGGTTCCAGGGTACCTTGCCTTAGGTGCCTCTCCCCCTAAAGCCACCAGCCCCAGCTGAGAGCAGTGCTAATTCCTCTCTGCAAGTAACCCCCGCCTCCAAGATTCTGCAAACAGCAGTGGGAAACTCCCAAACTCATCCATGACCCAGAAACCCTCCCTGTCTTGGATGTCTCCTCTACAAACAACAGAACCTCTGCCTTAGAGAACGATCTCCTTTTCTTCCTCAAATACCCTCTCCTCTCTTATCTGGGTCAGCTTCCCTGGCCTTGCTCTCTAAAAAGCCTAAAATCCAGGGCGCCTGGGTGGCTCAGTCAGTTAAGCGTCTGACTTCAGCTCAGGTCATGATCTAGTGGTTTGTAGATTCGAGCCCTGCATGGGGGACTGCACTGACAGCTCAGAGCCTGGAGCCTGCTTCAGATTCTGGGTCTCCCTCTCTCTTTGCCCCTCCCCCACTCACGCTCTGTGTCTCTCTCTCTCTCTCTCTCAAAAATAATAAAAAAATTAAAATAAAGATAAAAAGCCTAAAATCCTTCCAAAATGGCTTTAAAAATCTCTCTCCTTGGTGTGCCTGCATGGCTCAGTAGGTTAAACATCTGACTCTTGATTTCAGCTCAGGTCATGATCTCACAGTTTGTGTGTTCAAGCCCCATGTGGGGCTCTGCGCTGACAGTGCAGGGCCTGCTTGGGATTCTCTGTCTCCCTCTCTCTCTGCCCCTCCTCCCTCCCCTGCTTGCCTGTGTTCTCTCTCTCTCAAAATAAACATTTTAAAAAAATAAATAAATAGTGGCTCAGTCAGTTAAGGGTCTGATTCTTGGTTTTGACTCAGGTCATGGTCTCATGGTTCATGAGTTCCAGCCTCACACTGGGGTGGGTGCTGACAGCTCGGGGCCTGCTTGGGATTGTCTCTCTGTCTCTCTCTCTCTGCCCCTCCCTCACTCATGCGAGCACGCTTTCTCTCGCTCTCTCCCCTAATAAATAAGCTTAAAAAAAAAAAGAAAGAAACCTTTAAATAAATTAATTAATTAATTAAAAAAAAATCTCTCTCCTCAAGTATAGACCCTAGCCTCTCTCTGCCTTACCCAGCTACTCTCTGCTCCTTTCCTATCTCCTCCCTTAAGACTATAAGTAGAGAAGGCCTGACCTTCCTTCCTTCCATGCCTTCCTCTAGACTCTGTTCCATCTACAAGATTAGGCACAGAGACTCTTTATGGGGGCGGGGTAGCTGGTCAGAAGATGGCAGGGGACCTCCTAAGCACATGGGGGCTTTCTGCCTTCCTTGGCCTCTGCCAGAGGTGACCCAAAATCCCCACCCTTCATCGAACAAAGGCCTGAAGAAGTATCTCAGCTCCAAAGCTCCTGCCAAGCCACACCCCTGCCCCATGAGGACAAGCACAGATAAAGCTTTCAGCAGGTCCTCAAGTCTCTCCTCCTGAGAAGAGACAAGACCAGCCAGGATATTAGATGTTTCTCTTTATCAGGTGTCAGAGCCAGGCATCAGGACAGAACACCCTCACCATGAACCTGCCTCAGCATTCATAGCAGAAGGACACGAGGACCTTTTTCTGGCCCGCTTAGCAAT